TTATGAAAGGTATGACTTTGCAAGTATTACACTCACCAGCAGATAATAAAGCTACTAACTCATAATGTCTAAGAGTCTATGGGTCAGAAATACCAAATCATCTAGAGCAGCGGTTCTCAACCTATGGGTCGCGACCCCATTTGGGGTCGATCGACCATTTCACGGGGGTCGCCAAGCAAGGCTGTCTGCCATTTTTTCCCCTTTTCCGGCGGGTGCCTTACCTCCCTTGGGCTGGGCCAGCTGGTGGTCGGCCTGCTCCGTCTCTGCCACTTCCCAGCTACGCCTTGGCCGGCGCAGGGGGCGGAACCACGCATGCGCGGCGCTCCCGGGCAGGGAAAGTCCTTGACTTACGACCAGTTTAGTCCTCACCTTACGACCGGTTTAGTCCTCGCCTTACGATCGGTTGGGGGTCGCAGCATTAAAAAGGTTGAGAACCACTGATCTAGAGTACATAGAGATATTCTTTAAAATTAAGGATCAATATTTCTATTTGTCTGAATTGGATGCCTCCTTTCAACATCCATGATGTCACTATTTCTGGTTTGAATTTAGTAAATCTTCCTGGATGGTCTTACCTGAATTGATCTCCTAAGATAATAAATGTTTGAACTGGTTACTTGAAATTCCAGAAAAGGACTGTAATCTAGATTAGGAAATTGAAATATAATACAGAAGACAAAAACAAACACTTCCATAAACCGGCCAAAAAACTGTGGTGTCAAAGATGTCTTTATCATTCAGTCTTCCTGAATGATAAATAAATTCTTGGAACTTCTCAACTGTGGGATGGATTTGTTTGTTGGTTGGTTGGATTGTTAGTTTGTTCAGTGATATCACAACCAGCCTTCTGTGTTGTTTTTCTCCTAGCCTTTTTGGTTCACAGATTGTACTAATTGGAGTTCAAGCTTAACTTGAATCAAGCTTTTCAAGAATGCTGCTTGTTGTTTTTATTTGAGATGTTCTCAAATATGGCTGTAATGAAATACTTTGTATGCAGAATCATTAATGCTAGAAAGTCAGGAAGAGGATTGTGAACAAACATTTTTTTTCCTCTATAATTGGAACTGTACTACCTACAGCACTCTACGAAATTCTGGGAAAGGATTCAGCAATTTTATCTGTCTCCATCAACACATAGTACACTTCAATTTCTGAAATGATGACAAATGACTTGAAATGTTGTGATGTATTGTTGGACAAAATAACATTTCTTCCTGCAGAACTTTATTAAATTTGGCCAGCAACAGAAACACAATTACATATGGAAACCATTTCTCAAAAGCATCTATTTCTTAAATACTTGGAATAAGAAATGGAACATAACATTACTTGCCAGTGAAATAAGTCGTCCACTTGACTGCATTCATGTAGAATAAAGCAAATTCTGGTTTACGAAAAATTATCCATGGGTGCTTTAAAAGAAGAAAAAATATAAATATTTTTGTCAGATTTCTTCATTTTCATTAGTTATCATGTTTGCAAATACCATACAGCTACATAGGCACACATGCACACAATTCCCTATTTCAGTCATTTCAAATTGCATCAAAATAAAATAAATAAAATAAAAATGACAATCTTGATTAATATAGTTTATGCAAAAGTTATAGTTTACATTATCTTTGTTGACCAGGCTAAGATAGGAGTGGCTATGCAAGTCTAATTTCAGGAAATACGCATAAGCAGAAGAAAAGAGTCAATATGGAAATATGATTTAAAATATATTTATTATTAGATACTTCAGATGGCTGGCAAGACTTCAGTTTGTACACATAAGCCATGCTTGCAGTAGCTGAGATTGTGAATAATGAATTTTTTCCCCCTAGTGCACTCCATATGCTCAACACATTTGAGAAGTAGTAGGTTGTGGAAAGCTGGAAAATGTCTTTAAATGTTTTAGTGATAGTTGAATTGTGTATGATTAGGACTTGGATTTTATTTTATTTATCTTCCCTTCCCTTCCGAATTATTTTCTCTGTTTCCTAATTGGTGTGCTTTCTGAACCTTCTATTAAGCCAGGCACTGAACTTTCTACAATGACATAAGACAGTTTATTTTCATGCATAGAATCCATATATTAATTTATATGAGATATTTAAATTGGAATTTTAATATGGACTAAATGTCTAAATGTGAATGAATTAAACATTATACAATTTCAGTTATTTATTTATTTCATTTATTTATTTCACTAACTTCTATGCCGCCCTTCTCCCCACGGGACTCAGGGCGGCTCACAGCATACTAAAAAAAAAAAAAAAAAAAACACAAAAAACATTTCCCCTATAAAACCAATTAAAAACCAAATATATTTATGGCTGTGTCATTATTAAAATCTTTAAAAAATTTTTCCCTATTTAAAATTCACCCTAGGTCAGTCCCGCTTGTTGAAAAAGCCATGTCTTGAGGGCGCGGCGGAAGGTTAGGAGATCCGGGATCGTCCGGATCTCGGGGGGTAGTTCG